TGTAATGTTTCATTGATTGATTGCATGCTTATCTACTGATATTAAACAAAAGTATTGGTGAAATTTATTTTTAATAATTTATTTTCTTTATTTTTCATTTATTTTTCGTAATTATGATTTTGAAATCATGATTTTGAAGTCATGATTCTGAAGTCATGATTTTGAAGTCATGATTTTGAAAACAAAAGAACTATTGTTCATATACGATAAATACCACTATGCTCTGGAAGAAATAAAATATTATGAACTTTCTACGATAAAAATATAAGTACTAATTTATAAATAAACATTTTAACTATAAATTAAAGTAAAAATGTTTAGTAAAAATGAAAAAAAGAGAGGAAACATTTGTTAAATTATTCAATTTTTATTTAGTTATCGATATCAGAATCATGATTTTGTAAATAAAAAAAAGATAATATTTATCATATCCTCTAACTTGCTATTTTGTCGTAAACATTCCTTTAGTATTAATTTAATTTGTAAATAGATTAATATTATTATCACGTAATAAATGCTTGATCACTTTTATATTTATTTTTAATATAATATTTGCAATATTAAAAATAAAAATATTCTATAACATTAAAATTAATTCCTTCTTATCATTTTACAAATCGAAATTTTATTATTCGAAATTTCAAGGAAAAAAAAAATGCTAAGGTCGATGGAAAATAAGTATGAGTCTGTTGGGATTATTTTGTTTTCTAATTTATGTGCAATTAAAAATTCTGAATCATATAATTTGAATAATTTGCATTAATTAAGCCAACTTGTTTGTGTTACTAAAAAGTGGAAATTTTTGATTTTTTTGTTAGCAATGATAAAATTATAAAATATTTACTATTTCATTTATTTGATCCAATGCTATATTCGCCATTAATTATTGAACATTGAAAAATTAAGAATTTAAATTTAATTATTCGATCAAATTTAATTGAATTTGCTTCATAATTAACTGATTTTTTAGAATTGCACAAATAATTTGTCATTTATATTTTATAAAGTTTACTAATTCTGAGTAATTTTTTTTTTTCTTTTCTTTTTTTCTCTTTAATATTTGTTTTTTTATTTCACTTTTTATTTTTATAAATAAATAATTTATTGATAGTATTTTAACCAACAATCAGTCATCCTTGCCATTTGTTAATTAAAAGAATTTATTGATTGCACTGTTTATAATTATTTTTTCATTTGCTGTTTATAATTAATTAGCAAGAAAAACTATTCGAAGTACTAATTACTAATGTTATTACTATATTATTATATAATTATTACTGCTTATACTAATTAAAAATTCATTTCTAAAGTTATTTGGAAAATATAAAATCCAATTTCACTTATTGCATTTATTATCCAATCAATAATAACAAATATATTAAATTCAAAATTTATTTCATTTTAAAATTGCATTTTTCACTTCAGACTTCCATTTCAAATTCATACTTCCATTGCAAACGTAATAATTTGTCTGATTAAATATTGTTTTACTGCTAACATTTGATATTTTGTGTGAAATTTTTGTATTATTTCTGAATTTCAACGAAATTTTTAAGTTACAAAAGAGTTAACAATATTATCACATTTCATTATTATAAATAAATGAAATTATAAATTTTAATCTCAAACTTTCCGTTTCCGTTCAGATTTTCCATATAACATATTTTATTTGTTGTGTAACAGAGTAATTTAAAATTAAAATTAATAAAGAAAAAAAGTAAAACAAAAAAATTGTAAATGAATGAAAACTTCCTTTTTTCAAAAAAAAAAAAAAAAAAGGAAATAGTCTAAAAAACATTTCATAAATTTTTCAGAAGCATTAAGTTATTCCCGAAGTTATTCAATTTTTTGCAAATTTAAAATTTATATTGTTATAAAAAAAGGAGGAAGAAATAATTTGAACAATTTCATCAATTATTCTCTGTCTATCTGTCTCTCCCTCCCTCTCTCTCTCTCTCTCTCCATCTCCATTCTTCTTAACTGCCAATGAAAAAAAAAGCATATTTGAAACAATTTGCTTTGTGAATTTATAAAATTTACGGAATGCAAATTTTCGTAAATAATTGGTTAAATAATGGGAAATTTCTTAAAGTAATAATAATTTGCGGAAAAATCAAATGAATATTTGGTATATTTTTTCAAATTTTTTAACTTTTATAAATTATTATTACTATTACTATCATTATTATTAATTATTATCATTATTGTTATTATCATTATTCATGTTGTTATTACTATCATTTGTCATTTTCAATTAATTCTAACAATTACATTTCAATTTTTTTCTCACAATCATGTTTGTTTATTTTCATTTATAGTTTGAAATTATAAAAAGCTTTTGAATAAATTTAAATTTAATAAAATTTAAATTTATTCAAAATATACATATACATTGATAAGATAAGAGAGGATGGAAATAATATGAATAAAAAGAGAAATGAAACGATAGCATTAAGAATTTTGATATGGTATTCAAAAGTAAGCTAATAGAAATTTGAAAAAGATTTCTTATGTAATCTAAAACAACTGAAAAATATTTAATAGCATAGAAAAATTATGCTAGCAAATTTGATTTAATTTAATTTATCATTTTTTGTTAAATATAGTTTGACATGGTCTAATATATAAATCTAATTCTTTAATGAAAAACTCAAAAAGTTTTTTCATCTTTTAATCAATAAACTGGTGTTGTTTTTTTTTTTTTTTGAATTCAAAAAATTTCAAATTTATCATAATTAAATATTCTTATAATTAAATAGCAATTTTATATTAATAGCAAAAAATGAATGATAAATTCATTAACACCGAACAGATTAGTAAGTTTAGCATCCAAAAATTTCATCGATTTTTAAATGCTAAACTTGAAATGTTTACAATTTTTATTATTTATTGATTGAAAAAAAAAAAAAAAAAAGTATGTATGAATTTATGATAAAATGGAAATTTTTGAAAATTTTGCAAATTTTGAACTTTAACGAATAGTATCAAAAATTTGTAAAATATTTAAAAGTGAATTGATTTTTAAATGATTTAGAGAAAATGATAATATATTCCTGTTTGAAACATTTGAAAGAATTATAAGAATTTATAATTTTTTAATTTCATATTCCCATCACTACGGTAAAATTTATCGTCCAGGGATAGAAAGATAATATTCGTTAATTCCTTTTTCTTATTTTATTTTAAAAATTTCCATTAACGAATGATTTATAAATGATTTCTTGAGAAATATTTTACATTCCACTGTCTTCGAAATTACTTTTAAAAAAGAAAGATGAGAAATTTAAATCGTGAAAATGAGAAGAAATCGTGGAAATAATATGTAATAGCATTTAACACAATAATAATAATAATACATTAAAAAATATTAAATAGCAGTGGTAGTATCTAAATAACGTAGTGTAAGTCAATTTATTATTGTTTTATTGTTTATTATTGTTTTATTATTTATTATTGTTTTATCATTATTAGTGTTACTATACTTATTTTTTGTAATAACGTTGGCTGTTATCAAATATAAATAAGATATTATGATGTAAGGGTATTTATTCAAATAATAATTATTATTCTAATATTTGTTCTAATTATTATTATTATTATTACTGGTACCTAAGGTAAACAATATCGATCGATATGGAAGCATTACACCTGTAGTTCTAATTGGTTATCATCGTTTTCGGAAAAAAAAAAGAAAGAAAAAGGAAAAGTTTGTAAAATGTAATTTACCTGGATGGAAAGTAAGAACAATATAAAATGAAAGAGATGAAAATGACCTTGGCAATATGAAGGAAAAGGTATGGAAGGAAGAATTGATTAGTTTTATGATCTTTAAGACTAATTAAAATAAACGGGGAATTAGGAGACGGGGAGTGGGAAAGAGAAAAGGCGAGGAGAATGTTTGAGGTAAAATGATCGATCCATCATTTCGTACTATTCAAATTGATTCATCGATCAAAATTAACAACTTCTCTCTTCTGCTATCTTTCCACTTAGTTATATTCATGTGATAATATGTCTCAAATTATTGATATTATAGGAATTAATGTATGTTTCTGATGATTAATTACTTTTATCTCTTATCATTTTATCATTTATCACTTTCACTTCTCTTTTGCTACAGCTATTAGTAATTATCTTTCATTCTAATTTCTTTCCTTTTTTCTTTCTCTTCACTTTTTATCAGTATTTTATCATTATTTATATCAGTGCTAATGAAAACTAATAATTTGTAATTTTATCGAAATAAATAATAATTAATCATATATGAAATTGATATTAGTGATATGAATAAAATTATTTACGTGAATTTTTATTTATGTTATCTTATAAATCATGTAATTTAAACTCTTTTTTGCTATTTTAAAATTTATTTTTGGATTTTGCTTTCTTTATTACTGAGAAAAAATCGAAAAAAGACATTGCTGTTCGGATGATGTAATTTATTTAACTCATATTATTTCATATAAGTAAACATTTTCACCATTCGTTTTCTCTAACTCACATATCTATCTAATAGCTTAGTGTTTTCAGTTAATCAATATATTTCTTTGTTAAGCTTAATTAACTATTATAGAAGATGGTAAAAAATGTAGCAAACCTTAACTTTAATTAAATCTTACTAATATAATATAATCTTTCCAACAATTAAATAGTTCTAACATAAATATGTAATAGTAAAAGGAATATAATTGTTATTAAAATTCTATATCTTATAAAACTTTAATATCAAATATTTAATATTAAAAATCATTGTTAAGGGAGCTAAAAATAGAAATATAAAGTAAATGAAATTTAAATTTTTTAAGAATTTAGCACATTTGTTTCTAATTCATTAGTTATTCTCCCCCTCTCTCTCTCTCATTTTAAGATTAATTCATAAGTTCACTCATCTATCCAAAGAATTGTTGATGATGACGATGATGATAGTAGTGGTGGTGACTATGGTATGATGATGGTGATAGTAATGATAATGATGATTATGGTTGGTGATGATGATAGTAATGACGATGATGATTATGGTTGGTGATGATGATAGTAGTGATGGTGGTGATTATGGTATGGTGATGGTGATAGTAATGACGATGATGATGGTTGGTGATGGTGATAGTAATGATGATGATGATGGTTGGTGATGGTGATAGTAATGATGATGATGATGGTTGGTGATGGTGATAGTAATGATGATGATGATGGTTGGTGATGGTGATAGTAATGATGATGATGATGGTTGGTGATGGTGATAGTAATGATGATGATGATGATGGCTGGTGATGGTGATAGTAATGATGATGATGATGGTAATATATCATTACAAACGATCAAATGGGTAAATGATGTATCAGTTTGGTTATTTGATGAATTGAATTTTAGGGGTCCATTGCTATCGCAATCAACCATGGATGAAAATGTTTGTCAAAGAACCACCCATTGACTCTAATGAGACTGTTGACAGTGACAACCATTTGTGTGTGTATATGTATGTATGTGTGGGTATCTGTGTATGTTGTGTGTGTATATGTATGTGTGAGTGTGTGTATGTGTATGTGTGATAGTTATGATAATGATAATGATGATGATATTTGTCAATGATATGTCAATCATTGATATTAGTTTGTTTAGATCGATTTGCTTTACGAGTGGAAAAGGGTTAGAAAGTGGAAAAAGCTTAAAACATTCGCTACAACATATTCTACCATTTTCAATTATAATGCCATTCCATTTCCGCCCTTTTTCTCTTCACTTCTATTCCCTAAAACATTTTGAAACTGTAAAATGAAATGTAAAGTGATCTCATTTTATCATTCTACTGATATTTGATAATATTCATTGTATTTGTAATGTTGATTAATCATCGATTAGTCTTTTTTTTTCCTTTCAAAATTTTCATTTTCTTTTATTCTTTATTGATAATTTAATTATGATTTGATTCGAGAATTTCCGGATTTGTTAATAATTCGTATTTTATTATATTTTACAGTATTTATAATTGTTATTTTATATTATTTATTTTTGATTCTTTTTCTTTTACTTTATTACGAAATAATAATTATAATTATTATTTAGTTCAGATCAGTTTACTTCATTGATGATATGATATATCATTCAAATAATTCTGAGATATTTCATTCAAATAATTCTGAGACATTCAAATCAAATAATTTCTTCCATATATATTGTTTTGCTATCATTACTACAATTGAATTATTATAGTTTCCTGATTTGTTCGTAATTCAAACTACTTAAGAAGTTAGTGTGATCTAAGTAAGATGTGTATTCGTAAGTTAGTGACAAGCTTATTATAGAAATAATAAGCTTTAGTCTTGCTATGTTAATTCATTGTCTTTTCAATTGTCGAAATTATTTCGCTTATTAAAATTAAGAATATATTTGAGAATTTTTATGTTGTAAATTAATGATCAGTGTAAACTGTTCAATGAATTTTTATTTCAAAGGACATTTTAATTGAATTGTGCTTGACCCTATCCATCATTTACTAAAGCAACGGTACTTTTTGGTTTTCTTTTTTAAAATGCATTTGGTGTAAAACTTAAAATTACAAAAATTATAAAAACTTTTTGGTTTAAATTATACTAAAAATATTGATTTGATGAAAAAATTTCGCATTTTGTCACTCTTTTTTAACGAAATTTTTGGAAAAAAAAATAATTTTTTGTGATGAATTATTTGCATTGATTAATTATTAGGCATAAATATTACATAAAAAAAAAATGAGGATAAATAATGTGGAAAAATTAAAAATTAAAATAAGATGAATAATGCTATCTCATTTCTTCCCTACAATTTTTTCTTTTATTACATTCAATGGTTCGAGAGCGATTTAATCAAATATTTTAAAATTAATTTATTTGTCATATAAAAATCAAACAAAATATTTTGCCAAATTTCGCTCTTTTTTTTTTTTTTTTTTTTTGGCCGTTTCTCTTTCAACTATCAAAAAGTTGAAATTTTGATGGAAATTTGCTAACTTTTTTGTTGTCATCCTTTATTTGTCATTTTTATTCATGTAATAATTTTTCCTTGTTAAAAATTCCATCAAATTTTTAAAAATGAATGAAATGTAAAAAAAAAAAAAGTGAATGCTATTTCATTCTCGTGAACTTTTTTCAATTATTTAGAATTTTTTAAATGAAAAAGAAATGATTTGATGTGTATCATTGTAATTGAAATAATTTTACGCATCAATAAATGATTTCACATGAAGACAAATTCAATTTTTTTTTCAATTTTTTGAAAGTACCATCAAATCAAAAAAATAAATTTGATTACAAGGAAAAAGTATGAAAGCAAAATAAATCGTTAACTTCAGTCAGTTAGCTATTAGCAATAATTCTTAGCATTTATATTTGGCGCAAGAAGCTTTAACAATTGCGCGATAAATCCAGAAAAAAAAAAAAGAAAATTGATTCAGTTGCAAAAAGCTATAAGAATATGCAAAATATGTCGTAATTTAAAGCTGAAATTTTCTTTTTTTTTCTCGATGTAATTTTTCTTCTTCATCTTCATCGTTATCATTATCATTATCGTTATCGTTGTCGTTGTCGCTGTCGTTGTCACCCATATCGTTATCATTCACATCGTCATTGTCTTCTGTTTGATAAATGAAAAAGAAGAAATGTCCTGTCCTCCATATCTTTCCATATATTTTCATTCCCATTTCTATAACTTTTTACTTTCCTTTTTGCTTAACTTTTTGAAGGTCGAAGTTGTGTTGTTGTCGTTGTCGTCGTCGTCTCATCATTGACAGTCGCATATAATTCATTTTATCTTTTTTCCATAAAAAAAGTCCATGCAGAAGTTCGAAAATAGTTCGCTAAACTTTTTTTTTTTTTTTTTTATTCTTCTATCTTTTCAACTTTTTTTTTCATGCTTATATAGCAATAATCATTTTCATTTATCAATCAGCCTATCTATCTATTCCATTTATATTCATTCATTCATTCATTCATTCATCTTATTTCATTTTCGTTTTAATTTTTATAAATCCATAAAAAGAAGTTAAAAGAAAAGTGAAAATCAAAAAAAAAAAAAAAAACATCTATTCCAATTTTTTTTTTTTTTTTTTTATTCTAAAATATTATTTATTTTTATAGCTAACATTTTTTATGAGATCAAAATATAACATCATTATTATCATCAATTCATTGATAGATAGCTATTTTTAATTTTAAAAGAGCAGATGTTAAATTTTTTTCTTTCTTTTCATAACGCTTTTGCTCTCTTTCCTCTTTTTATTTCAAATATAATCTAATTTTTAGTTGAAATATTTGAAAAATTTAACAAAATAGGAAGAAAAAACTAACAATAATATTTGTTTAATTCTTTCAGACTATTCAAAAACTTTCATTTTTTTAAATTAAAACTTATTTATCTAAGCTTATTAGCAAATTTCTTTCTTTCTCTTTTGTATTTTGGTGTAATCATAATTCTGCTTGATTTTTTTTTTTTTTTTTTCATCTATTTCTCTTCATTTTCATATCGTTTTTTTTTTCCAATTTAAAGAAGGATTAGAAAGAAAATGAAAGATATTTAAATCAATTTTGATTGAATTATTAAATTTTATTTCACAGATAATTCAACAATTGTAATTAGCAAATAATTTTTGTATTCATTGATTTCATTGATCATTTAATAAGGATTTATTGCATCTTGAAAATTCCTTTTTTCTTTTTTTTTTTTTTCAGCTGCTATTGAAATATATTTAAAAAGAATGTTCGTAAATAATTGATTTATGCTTTAATGGAAAATTTTTATGCAAATTGCTTCTTCGAATGAGAACAACTCTTCAAGATTAGTTAAAGAGAGTAAATAATGATACTCTTTTAAAATATTTAAATAGCATTTGAGAAAAAAAAAAAAAAACTTATCCATTTAATAGATAAATTCCAATTTTTCAATTCAATCTTTTAGATATTTGATGAAATTATATTATATTATGTGATATCATTTAAATTATTCACATTCAAATTCCTTCAATTTTTTACACTTTTAATTCACAATTTTTTCCATTCGTTCTATTCTTATTTTAATTTTTCTTCTTTCATTTTTATTGCTATTTATTATGATTATTATTGTTATTATCATTATAATTTATTATTATTATGATTACTATCATTAAACGAAAAACTATTATCATTTATTTTACTTTTAAAAATTTGCTACTCTCTTTTTTATTTATCGTGAATTTTTCTGAGTTTAATTTTAGGACAAAAATTAATTCAATCAATCAAATTTAGTTTTAAACAAAATGTAATTTAACATTCGATGAATGCTGATGCAACGATACTTTTATATTCATTTACTTTTTTTATAAACTATGAAAAAGAAAATGAATAAAAGAAAGTTTCTTTTTTTTCTGTACTTTTTTTTTTCTCTCTCTCTCTCTCTCTTTCTCTGTGAATAATGAATTTAATAATTGAAATCAGACTTAAACCCTAATTTCAATTTCTTTTTTTTTTTTTAAATTCTACCTTCTTCTTTATCTTTTTCACATTTGTTTATAAGTTTAAAAAAGAAAAAAAGGACTGGAAAATTTCCCATCAAAGATTCATCTCTTTCTTTTATATTAATTCTTTTTTATATTTATTTGTTGCATCTATAAGTTACTTTTATAATATGCATGAAATTATGAGATTAAAATATTCGGATTTGTTCGAAAAATATAAAATTTGAAATTCGTTTTTGTTTTTTTTTTTTTATAAAAATTCACTAAAATTTAGTGTTCTTTTATTCATTTTTAATTTTTAGTTTTTAGATAAACGAATAATTTAATTACAACAATTATAATATCTAATACTTAATATTCGAGTAAAAATTATCACAATGAAAAAGATAACAAAATAATTGAAATATTAATTTACACATAGTAAATAGAATTAAAAATAAAAAAATCTTACATAATTCATTTGTAATAATAATAGTAATTACAGTTGTAGGAAATTATTTAAATATTTTATATATTGAATTATAGTTAGTTTTAAATATTTTATTGAGTTATTATAGTTATTATAGAATTATCATTGATATATAGATAATATTACATAATAATTACCAAATTATTTTAGAATATCATAGCATCAATGTATTAAAACTATACGTAAAGTTACAGAAATAATTATTATCACTATAAAATATAATCAAAACTTAAATGATAGTTATTTATGATTACTTATAAATATTACTAATTGCAGTAGTGAGTTCCCAGAAAATGATTATCATATGATAGTAACCTATAATTATTGATAAATAATTGTTACTAATTAGGTAGCGGTTAATGAGTGAAGGTTGAATTTTCAAAGGAAAAAAAAAATTGTTTTGTTGGAATTAATTTATTTTTCTTTTTTCATTTTGTTGATTTCAAGAATTGAAATTAAATCAAAATTAGCAAAGAGGAAAAAAACACTAATAATAAAT